AAAAAAAAAAGAATGGATGAAAAATCAGACGGAAAAGGAGAAAGTGAAGAATCCAATGGGATTTAATGATGGTGTTTAATATGTTCGAACCGATGGAGGAACGTGTTGGGCTTCTGTTTCGTCCAGCGTCGTGTCGATGACGGGACGATAAGAAATGCTAATCTGCAAAGGTGCAAATGTTTCTGATATTTCAACTAGATAAAAAGAACAGTACAATCACGATGTTTAAATGTAGATACAGAATAGAAAGTTCGTTTTTGAGGAACGTCGCTGTTTTATCACTTTGTAATAATATAATTCTGTTAGCCTTGTGTTGCGCATAACATATTGTTTCACTGATAATTTCTATCTGTTTATCTGGGAGCATAAATTATTCGTATCGCGTATCATTCGTCTTTCGACTTTGAATATTCAGAAATTTGCAATCAAAGATTTTTAAAGTAGCTGATTGTGAAATTATCATTGATGCTATATTTATTATAAACTGATAAATGCACGCTAAAATGAGGGAAAAATGAAGGTTTTTTTTCTGTAGAAAAAAACTTCCAACGAAGGAAAAGTTTCTGCCAATGAAAATTTTTCACCTTTGAAATGCTTGAAATTTATCATACAAATTAGCGGCAAATCGAGGACAACTATTGAAAAGATGTACAAAACAGATGTGAAGTTTTTCAAGTCGTCACAAACGATTCTGTGACTCAATGATACAGTGTATATATATTTATGCAAATATACCGACTTCTCGCATTCAATGTCTTTTACGTCATCGCCTGAAACGATCATTATACGTTTATCAATCAACTTACGTTCCTTCTTTCGTAATTATTCTAAACGACGATTACTTAATTATTTTAATGAGGATTTTTTGTCTTGATATTATGTGTCGCACTAGCACAGAGAAACTATTGTTAAAATCACCCGTTATTTCCTCGTGAAACATGAATTAGTAAGAAAAAAGTATCATTAGCGGGCAAAATAATTCCGTTGGAAAAAGATATGTACGAAAAAGTAAGCGTTTGACGTGCCGTTAAATAATTGATATAGAAAAATGGACTAATTACGATAGCTCACCGATCCATCCGCTCGGGCCCACGTGAGCGTGTGTTTGCGCCAATGTTCAGCTAATGATCGCTTCTTTTGACCTTCGAGCGGTTTCGAGTAGTCGTATTCATCGATTCGTTCCTGCAATAATAATTCCTTGGGTTTGACGAGTTCAAGTTCAGCAAGATTGCAAGCATTGTAAATACTTTGAAATCATCCCGGGAGTGAGAGCCTCGGGACTCTTTCCTGTTTTCGGCCGCGTAAGCGATGTGCGTGCAAGCTAACATCATGTTTTGCAATTCTATGGCTTCCACCAGCTCTGTGTTCCAGATCAGAGACTGGTCTTGAACCTGGATAATAATAATAACGGTTCAGAATTTGAATTTCCAGCGAAATTTCACCGTTCTAACTATATTCTTATATTCGTAATATTCTGCATAATGATCTATCACCAGCTTTTGCGTCACATCAAACGTAAATAAGTTCGTCTTCCTTTTATTCGTGCCGGCATATCGTTTGATTCGAGGAAAACGAAAAAAAAAAAAAAAAACAAGGAAAAAGAAAAACTCGAGATCGTATGCCAATTAACAATTATATAATCGCTTATACAGCGCGAGGATGATTAAATGTCGAGGAGGGCTTGAGACATCGAGACTCGATCTTACGTAAATGGAACATTTCGATCAATTCACCTACACATATGTCCGGCAAGTCGCAGGTATAGAGCCGCGTTATCTCGCGGCATCCTCGTTGCAGCACGTCGCAGGTTCTGAACACCGAGCAATATCTCTGCATAGTCTGCTGCATCTCCTCTCGTAGCTCGGCGACGGGGATACAACCTTTTGCATAACGAGTCGCGTCGAAACGGCAAATAGACTCTTCGCCAACAGTCTGCACGCAAACGCGAGTGTACAGTAGTACAATATAGTTGTAGGCGAAAAAAATAGCAATAGTAACGATAAGAAGTATCGTTGCGTTCGATTGTGCAACACGAACGTTAATTTCGCTACAGTTGTTTGCTATTGAACCGATTCAGTTTTCTGTCATAGAACGACAGCCGAATTAAAATCCAAATAAAAGCCAAAATGTTCTTTGAATATCTGCAGAAATACGATTGCACGAGGAGTGCAAACGTATCGTCAAGAATCCACGTGTTGCGTGTCCAAAGCAGACAAAGATCGAGAAATCGTAAATCTTACGGTCGGCAAGTCTTCGTGACGTTCGCCTGGTCTGGTCATGCAATCGATTTGATCAGCGATCGCCTTGCCGAAAACCACCAGCTCCAGGAGACTATTGGCGCCTAAACGATTAGCGCCATGGACGGACACGCACGCGGTTTCACCCGCTGCCCAGAGTCCTTCGATCACGCTGTCTTCCTCGTTTTCTCGCGTTAGGACCTTGCACATAGAAGAAACCAACTGAAGTAAGTGATTCACACGTACAGGGTGGAAAGAAAAGTTTGTCCGTAGCTATCGTAGATAAATTCTTCGATATTGTAAAGAGGACCTGTCGCAAAATTGACTTTGACCTTTTTCCTTTTTTTTTGCATTGTATTCTACTCATCATGAAGGTAAAACTTTTCCAAGCAACATAATCGTTCTCTTGGAAAATGGCAAAAAAGTTTCTTCAATCAATCAACGTGTGCGTGCTAACAGCGACTTTATAATTCTGGTTTAGGTTTCACTAACATTTGATCTATTGTAGTTATATAGTGTCAGTGTTTAAATAATCAAATAATCAAATGATAAAACTAACTGTTAACAGTTCTTCGAAATATGAACATTACATCCACATGTTCAGAATCATAAAGTCGCTGTTAGAACGCACGCGTCCTCCTACCTTTTACAACTATCAAGTTGTGACTTGTGATTCCTTGGAAAAGTTTTACCTTCGCGATGAATAGAATACAATGCAAAAAGGAAAAAAATGTTTGATCTGAAAATTCAAGGTCAGGATCAATTTCGTGGCAGGTCCATTTCCATCAAATCGAAGATCGTAGAATTCATCTATGATAGCCACGGACAAACTTTTCTTTCCACTCTTTCCACAATTACGTTGGCTTAGCGAAAGCTAAACGGTACTAACGGCTCACCTGAGCTCGCCAGTTCGTCGGTACGCCACCCATGTTGTAGTGCATGGTGGGTATGACAGGTATGGGTTCCTTTTTCACATTCACGCCAGCGAAAACCCAGGCCAAATGTGAAATCCCTGGCAGTTTCGTGCGTAGAATTTCTACTGGCAGATGATGCAGTTGCAGGTACACGTGATCTTTCTTGCGACCTACGCCTCTGGATAAATTAGTAACGGGATGAGTATGAAATGTGCAAGTCGGAAGGGTATACTAATTGCTTTGTGCTAACAGGAGGAGATTTTAACACTCTTCTCTTGTAGAGAAAATTGTGTATGTTTCAAGGATTTTTATAGTAGTAGTTGAGATGTTTCGTTTCATAATCTCACCGAGATTAATAAAAATGTCAACGAAGCTTTGCTTC